GGTATGAGGCTTGCCGATCTTGTTCCCCCAGTAGCCTCTGCGCACGGGGACAATGGAGAGCTTGGCCAGGATGATGGCTCCACGGATGGCAGTGGCCACCTCCTTGGAACACTTAACACCGAGACTGACGTGACCATTGTAGTCCCCAATAGCAACAAATGCCTTGAATCTGGTGAGCTGGCCTGCACGGGTCTGCTTCTGCACCGGCATAATCTTCAAAACCTCATCCTTGAGAGAGGCCCCCAAGAAAAAGTCAATGATCTCAGATTCCTTGATGGGCAGAGAGAAGAGATAGATCTCCTCCAGAGATTTAATCTTCATGTCTTTGACCAGGCGGCCCAACTTGGTGACAGGCATCCACTCCTTATCCTCGGCTTTGCCTCCGTGAGCTCCGCGGCCTCGGCCCCGGCCCCGTCCACGGCCGCGACCCCGGCCCCGGATACCACTGCCAAAACCTCCGCGGAAGCCACCGCGGTTCCCCATCCCAGGGCCCCCAGACCGGCGTCATCCGCCATTTGGTGTTTTATCGGAGAAGAAGCCCCATGGCTAATTGTTATGTAGCAGGAGCGGCTGTGGGAAATGGATCCCTTGAACACCAAATAAAGGAGGGAAGAGTTTATTCCGCTGGGAGACCAGGCAGTAATTTGTCAAAAGCCCAGCTCATTTAACAAAGGAAGGTTCTGCCTTTATATAGGCTTATACTTTAGATGTTACACGTGGAAGAATCTTAGAGGTTTATAGCTTTAGGAATCACATATGAAAGGGTTCCGGTTTACAGTTTAGGACTCACATGTGAACAGGTCTCTGTTTACAGTTTCAGGAATCACATATGAAAGGGTTCTGGTTTACAGTTTTAGGACTCACATGTGAAAAGGTTTCTGGTTTGATCTTGTTTTAAGTAAAAATAGTGTCTTCCAGAGAGTTTCCCCAAGACCAAGTGTGTTATTTTCAGGAAGGAGATTCAGGAGGTGCCAGCTGGCCTGCTCTGTCTTCTATTGAGCTGCACAGTGGATGACAGAGGGGGAGGGAATCCCAGATGGCTGGGTCTCCTTCCTCAGTTACAGAAAGACCTAGTTTGTTTAAAGAGATTTTCCTTGTTTTATGCTTTGCACAAGCGATGACCCTATGTGTTGGCCTTGGATACCTACCTGCTTGTTATTCCTCTTGTTGTCATATTTCATTTAGCTGCAAATTAAAAAGAACTAAAAAAATTATAGCAATTTCTAGTTCATATCCAGGAAATGGAACTCTCCACAGGAAACTTTGCATGGTACAAATATGTTAGAAAATCACTTTACATTGTGCTTTGAGAGCCTGTGAGGCTGTCACAATGGAGCACAGTTCACCTATCGTGGATAAAGCCCAGAGAGATTGTAGTGTGTAGACTACAGGAAACCTCCTATCTGAAGAGTTAATTTTCTTTCAGAATCTGTGTTAGAGGCTGCTGAGATTAAAATAAGACCCTTTAAGATTGGTCTAGGAACACTTATAACTGTTGACTATAAAAAGAAAATACCCAGGAGGTCAGATTCAGCCTTGGGAGTTACTTTGGTGTAAGCCTCATAAGACCTTCATTTTGAATTTTCCTCGTCTTTGATTATGCATGCTTTCTGCTTTAATAAAAAGAATTCATTCAATTAACATAAATAAGCAAACAACTAGTTTAGTCTCTTGAATATTTTAAGATGTCTTGAGGCTACTTTTGTTTTTCTGGCTGCTGGGGATCAGAAAAAGTAGGATGCTTTTGGCCTGCTGAGTGCTTTGAACTAAAGGAGAACCAAGGTCTCTCTCACCTTCTCCCACCCCCTGTCTCTTGCGCCTCTTTCCCTCTCTAAGCTGTGGGAGAGGCTTTCTCAGATATTTCCTTATCTCACTAAAGAAAAGTTCCTCCAAGAGGAATGTAATTGTCACGAGCCCTCTGCTTATGATCTCATCAAACAGCAAAGACAAACTCACAGGAAAGGAGACTAAAAAGGTCTGCATCGCCTATTCTTCTGAGGACACTACCTCAGAGACTTTATCTGCATAAAGGTCTGCATCACCTATTCTTCTGAGGACACTACCTGAGAGACTTTATCTGCATAACAAGACAGCCTTTGTTCATTGTGTTTCCTCTCCTCAACCCCCTATAACCTATCGCCATCATTACCCCCTAGAAATCCCAACCTCCATTTCTTTTTCTTGGAGGTGGAGTCTCACTGTGTTGCCAGGGTGGAGTGCAGTGGCCTGATCTCAGCTCACTGCAACCTCTGCCTCCCAGGTTCAAGTGATTCTTGTGCCTCAGCCTCCCAAGTAGCTGGAACTACAGGTGTGCACCTCTATGCCCAGCTCACTTTTTGTATTTTAGTAAAGATGGGGTTTCACCATGTTGCCCAGGCTGGTCTTGAACTCCTAAGCTCAGGGAATCCATCTGCCTTGGCCTTCCAAAGTACTAGAATTACAGGTGTGAGCCACTGTGCCCAGCCTCAACCCACTATTTTTTTCTGTAGCTCGGGATACTACATAAATTTCAACCATCTGGACTTGAATCCACCTTTGCAAAAATTATGTCAGTGAGAAAAGTATGTCAGTGAGGAGATGTGATCTGGCCAATGCCCCACTCTTGCCATTAGCTTTCAGGCTGCCTTAGTTATTCCTTGGCTTAGGCCGAGCTAACTTTGGAAGACATTTAGGTTATAGTTTAAATGATAGTAGCCTTTCCCTAAAACTCAACCACTGCTAATAAGAGACTACCAGGGTCGTGGGTGGAGAGGAGCTAATTCTGCTAAGGTGTAGACTGGTCACAAGATAAGCAACTTCCCCAGTTATGCCTGCAGATAACATCACTGTGGTGGATTGGCTTTTTGAGATATCTTTTCAGGTTTTTTTTGCATATCTGACATCGATGGCTCCAAAGGAATCCGATGGCTCTGTTACAGGAAAGGGATCCCAATCCAGACCCCAAGAGAGGGTTCTTAGATCTCGTGCAAGAAAGAATTCAGGGTGAGTCTGCAGTGCAAAGTAAAAGCAAGTTTATTAAGAAAGTAAAGTGGTGAAAGAACAGCTCCTCCATAGATAGAGTAGGACGTTCCCAAAAGTAAGAGAAGGAACACGTCCACCCTAGGCACAATACTCGTATATATGGGGAGATGTGCTCTGCTACAAGGGTTTGTGATAAAGGATTAATTTTCTTAATTACTATATTTTTCAAGAATCGATATTATTATCTTTACTGAGGAATGCCTTTGTTCTCCAGCTATCGGGGTATCTGGACACTCCCAAGTCTGGGTCTGCTTAGTAAACATTACTAATTTGTTCCCTTAACCATAAATGTCTAGAGGTTAGGAATGCCTAACTTCCTGGAAATGTAGCCCAGCAGGTCTCAGCCTCATTTTCCTAGCCCTCACTCAAAATGGAGTTGCTCTGGTTTGAATACCTCTGACAACTCAACCTGTACCACGAAACCGCCCCTGTGGCCCCACACAGGAGCAACTCAGCTCAAGAGGACAAATTCTACCCACTATGATTTTATCTCTGCCCCAACCAATCAACAGCAAGCACCCATTTCCTACCTACCTCCATCCCTTCCCCCAAAACTCCTAACCTATAAGCCTTTGAGATTGATTTGAGTGACAGCTCTGTCTCCCTCATAGTATGGCCAGCCTCGGGTCAGTTAGACTCTTTCTTTACTGCAATGCCATGGTCTTTATTTGTGTAGCAGGCTGGAAGAGCTCGTCAGGTGGTTACAGATGTTCTCCAAGTCTCATACTCTGTGGGACCCCCATGCATGTGCATGTAATAAATTTGTAAGCCTTTTCTCCTGTTAATTAATCTGTCTATGGCCAGTTTATTCCAGAGACTCAAGTTACTGCAACTTCAGAGGGTGGAAGGAAAATTCCCTTCACTTTTGCCTTGATATTCTGATTCTTTTCAGAGCTGTGCTTCATGGCCATGTAAAAATTAAACATGTTGTTTTCTTTCTTCTCCCTTTTAATTGACTTTCAGATGTAGACTGATGGATATAGCATCAAAACAGGAACAAGGTTTGAAAACAGTTGAAGCTCTTTACTTTTTTTTTTTTTTTTTTTAACAGGGTCTCATTCTGTTCCCAGCTGGAGGGCAGTGGCATGATCATGGCTCTATAGCCTTGATCTTCCAGGCTCAGGTGCTCCTCCCACCTCAGCCTCCTGAATGGCTGGGACTACATGTGCACCACCATACCTGGCTAATATTTTGCATTTTTTGTAGAGACAGGTTTTCACCATGTTGTTTCGGCCAGTCTTGAACTCCTGGGCTCAAGCAGTCCACCCACTTCAGCCTCCCAAATTATGGAGATTACAGGTATGAGGCATTGCACTTGGCTGAAGCTCTTTATTTTATTTATTTATTTTTTTGAGATGGGGGGTCTCACTCTGTAATCCAGGTGTGAGTTCAGTGGTGCAGTCTCAGCTCACTGCTACATCCGCCTCCTGGGATCAAGTGATCCTCCCATCTCCCAGCCTCTGGAGTAGCTGGGACTACAGGTATGTACCACCATGTCCAGCTAATTTTTTGTATTTTTGGTAGAGATTGGGTTTCATCATATTTCCCAGGCTGGTCTCAAACTTCTGAGCTCAAATAATCTGCCTGCTTTGGCTTCCTAAAGTGTTGAGATTACAGGTGTGAACCACTGCACCCAATCAAAACTCTTTATCTTTCTAAAGACAGAGATATTTTTTCCTTTCCTTGTTTTCTTCAAACACAAAACCAAAGAAGCATTTCTTTTTAATTTAAAAACCTGAAGCATCAGTATTAAATAACAGTTGTTGGAAGAAAATTAAATCAGCCACAATCCTATCTCAAATGTGGCTGCTAGTTTCAGTTTTATATGTCCCTTCCATATCAGGGCACATGCACACATACTTGATCTGGTTGAAGTTGAATATAAACTTAATAAGCATTTTTATGAAATTAGAAGAACTGTCAAGAAGGAATCTAAAGCCAGTTGAATCAATTTGAAGTTGGTGTACTTTATGTTTTAAGAATATAGCCAATACAACTAATAACTAACATAACTAATATAGCTCTCTTATATATTTGCAATTTACTAATAAAGTAGATCTTAGGTGTTCTCACCACACACACAAAAAGATAGGTGTGAGGTAATGGTTATGTTAATTAGCTTGATCGTGCTACTCATCTCACAATGTATATAGATATCAAAACATTACATTGGGCCGGTGTGGTGGTGGCTCACGCCTGTAATCCGAGGACTTTGGGGGGCTGAGGTTGGTGGATCACTTGGGGTCAGTAGTTCGAGACCAGCCTGGCCAATATGGTGAAACCCCACCTCTACTAAAAATACAAAATTAGCTGGATGTGTTGGCACATGCTTGTAATCCCAGCTACTCAGGGGGCTGAGGCAGGAGAATCTCTTGAACCCGGGAGGTGGGAGTTGCAGTGAGCCAAGATTGTGCCACTGCACTCTTGCCTGGGTGACAGAGCGAGACTCTGTCTCAAAAAGAAAACCAAACAATAAAAACCAAAAATACATTAC